TTATGTTTTGACAATAATACCCCTAAGTTTAATACCTAAATATTGAAGATAGAAAATCCCAGCCTCCGAACTCTAAAAGAAACATGACGAAACAACCTTCTTCCTACTTCAACGCCGCTTTTTCTTCAGCCCACTCTCTGCAACGCCTCTATTGTCGATCAACAATCCATCCCAAGTTCATCCAATTTCTCGATCTTCGTAAATCGAGCTTAGGGCTCCTGAAGATGATATGTGCAAATTAACCTCAAGTTCATCCATATTTATCGATCTTCTTAGCAAGCTCAACCGATATTGGTACAATCACACGAAAAGGACCACACATGAGGCTTTGAAACCGGCAACCACATGTCAACAACTCTGTTCAAATGTTAAGGCCTTAAGAATATTATATGATCAAAATTGTTCTGAAAACTCGTATGAAGCAATTCAACATAAGTCCCTCCACAAAATCCAACAAGGGTATGTCAAGATTAGGGGTGAAAATGCCAAAACAAGAGAGACTAAAAGGGGAAAACCATTTTATTAATAACTTATATGAATCACTAACCAATCTGTAGAGTCAAATTAATTGATTTTAAGAGTAAAGCCTAACAACTTTCATCAATTCAGGTTTCTGAACAAACTCAAAAGGATAAACCCCAACACTATGAAACCAAATTTAAGAAAAAAAAACACAGAATCAAATGCATAAACTGTAAATCCACATCAGATAACAAAAAATAAAGAACATTTTCTAAGATGAGGAAAGGATTGATGTTATTCGGGTCCCAAGAGTAATCTGATTTGTAGGTTTGCAACTGATATGCTTCTGGAAGTTGTGACAGTGAGTTTTCATGGTTTTTTGGAAACACAGGATCTGGTAGCGCTGAAGGAGAAAGAAGGATTGCAACGATTGCAGCGACGTGTGCATCGTGGTCCTTCGAAAACATAACACTTTTCTCTCTCTTAAATATGTTTAAATTTAAAATTTAAATGAGGGCATAATTGTCTATTTACAATAAAAATATGTGGATACATCAAAAATACCATGGAAAAATCAGCTCCCAAACTAAAAAAACGGAAAGAAAAATAAGAAAACAAGGGGCGTTTTATGAGGGAACGGTATTGTGGTCCCAGGTACGATATAAAAGGAGAATGTTGGTCATTGAATTCGCGGTATAAAACCCTCGACCGCGTAGCAGCCAATGCAGAAAACGAGAGTGGTTCTCCATTATTTTTGTGTTAAGATTTATGGAGTCTTGAACAAATTGACAAGTTCCTAAAAATTCAAGGGCCATAAATGTAACTTGAC